ACAGCTTTCCCGGATGCACCAGCAGGGACTTGAACCAGCACACAGCACGTATGAGATGCTGGCAGTGCGGGCAGAGGCTCACCCTCCTACACCTGAGTGCCAGCCCCCAAGTAAAAGCTTTTAAATCCACCAATGTATTACAGTTTTAAACACTTCACATATCAGCACATTTAGGCATCACAAGAATTCAGTGAAGTAGATACTATCAGTGTTATCATTTCACAGATGAGGAACCTAGCCTCAGACAGGCTAAGCAGGGCCAGCATTGTGGCGTCTCAGGTAAGGTCACTGCCTGCAAAGTCAATATCCCATATGCAAGCCGCTTTGAGTCCTGGTTGCTCCACAGTAATCCAGCTCCCTGCTAATGACCTAGAAAAAGCAGCAGAAGATGGCCCAAGCTCTTGGGTCCCTGCCTCTCACATGGGAGCCCCCGATGAAGCTCCTGGCTCCCGGCTTCAGTCTAGTTCAACACTGGCCATTGCGGCTACTTGAGGAGTGAACCAGTGCATGGAAGAGCTGTCTGTCTCTCCCCGCCCCTTTCAAATAAATAAATATATAAGTAAATACATCTTTAATAAAAAAAAAAATCTAAGCAATTCATTCCCTACACACATAGAACATAGTACATCCAGCATTAAAATTCAGCAAGGAAACACTTGATTGCTTTGTTATACAGCCTCAGGTTCTTAGTGCTGGGGAGACACTAACTATGCAAGAACAGTATTAGAATACCTTAGAGGCCTGCGCCGCGGCTCACTAGGCTAATCCTCCGCCTTGTGGCTCCGGCACACCAGGTTCTAGTCCTGGTCGGGGCTCCGCATTCTGTCCCAGTTGCCCCTCTTCCAGGCCAGCTCTCTGCTATGGCCCGGGAGTGCAGTGGAGGATGGCCCAAGCGCCTGGGCCCTGCACCCCATGGGGGACCAGGATAAGTACCTAGCTCCTGCCATCGGATCAGCGTGGTGCACCCTTGATTTGCTCTCCACCTGGCCACATCTAATCAGAATACCACATCATATTATCTCTTTTTTTTTTTTTGTCTGTTTTTTGTTTTTTTTTTTTTTTTGACAGGCAGAGTGGACAGTGAGAGAGAGAGACAGAGAGAAAGGTCTTCCTTTGCCGTTGGTTCACCCTCCAATGGCCGCCGCGGCTGGCGCGCTGCGGCCGGCGCACTGCGCTGATTCGATGGCAGGAGCCAGGATCCAAGTGCTTTTCTTGGTCTTTATGGGGTGCAGGGCCCAAGCACCTGGGCCATCCTCTACTGCACTCCCTGGCCACAGCAGAGGGCTGGCCTGGAAGAGGGGCAACCGGGACAGAATCCGGCGCCCCGACCGGGACTAGAACCCGGTGTGCCGGCGCCGCTAGGCGGAGGATTAGCCTAGTGAGCCGCGGCGCCGGCCTCATATTATCTCTTAAACATCTCTCTAAACAAATAGTGATTTGGTGTTCCTATGCTCTAGGCTGGATTTAGACTGGAAGATTTTGAAAACCCCCAAGGATCACCACCAGATAGCATTCCTCATAGCAGTAAGAGAACACCACCACGACTGTCTAGGCAAGGCCATAGAAGAGAGAGTATTACAGGATTGGGAGGAGGGCAAGTCAGTTTAAGGATGATCTTTCAAAGGAGAAAACAGATAGGGATGGAGCAGTTGTCACGACATGATAGCTCAGATTGGTCACCAGGGCAGGATGAAGGTCTTGATAAGGAAACTGCCGTGTGACAAGTGAGCTGTTTGCCTTGCTGAGCAGATGGTTATCTCAGATAAATCGATTTGCAGGAATTACCTGACACACACACACTGCAACTGTGTATTGGTTTACTGTCTTATCTTTCTTGGGCAAATGTTTCCTAGAACAAAACACTAACTCATGTTGACTCAGGGGGTCTCTGTTCTTAGTCCTAACAGCAATATCATGTTGATGTAGGTGATCATAGTTCTCAAAGACACTGTGCCCGAGATTTAAGGAACATTTTGCTGAGCAGGCAGACAGGGTTCCAAAACAGTGCCTCCTTGTTGAAATCCACTTATTCATAAGACAGAAAGGATACAAAGAAGAAGAAGATCACATTGTGAGAGCCACACGACCTGCACATTTTCATGGAAATCTTTACAGGGGCAGTGGCTCAGACTTTGAATAGATGAGAGGGAGGGCAACACAGCCCAGGAAAGGAACAAGAATATGCAAAGCCCCAGAGACATGGGCTATTATATCATCCTCCCTTTTCTCTCCACACTTCCAAACTTTAGTTCAGCGCCCCCCACCTTTCTCCTATTTCAAAAATCTTCTGAACAGGCCAGCGTTGTGGTATAGCAGGTAAAGCCACTGCCTGTGGCACTGACATCCAGTATGGGCACTGGTTTGAGACCCGGTTGCTCCACTTCCCATCCAGCTCCCTGCTAATGCACTTGAGAAAGCAGTGAAGGATGGCCCAAGTGCTTGGGCCCCTGCACCCACATAGGAGATCCAGAGGAAGCTCCTGACTCCTGGCATCAACCTCGCCCAGCCCCAGTGATAGCCATTTGGTGAATAAACCAGCACATGGAAGATTCTCTCTCTCTCTCTCTCTCTCTCTCTCTCTCTGTCTTACTCTGTGTAACTCTGACTTTCAAATAAATAAGTGAATCTTAAAAAAAAAAAAAAAGTTCCTGCTGCTCCACTTCCCATCCATCACTCTGCTATGGCCTGGGGAAGCAGTGGAAGATGGCCCAAGTCCTTGGGCCCCCGCATCCATGTGAAAGACTTGGAAGAAGCCCCTGGCTCCTGGTTTTGGATTGGTGCAGTTCCGGCCATGTGGCCATCTGGGGAGTGAACTAGAGGATGGAAGCCCTGTCTTTCTCTCTCTCTCTCTCTCTCTCTCTCTCTCTCTCTCTCTCTCTTTCTGCCTCTGCCTCTATCTAAATAAGTAAAATAAATAAGTAAAACTCTGCCTTTCAAATAAATAAATAAATCTTTAAAAAAAAAAAACACACCAAAAAAAACTCTTCTGATGCCACAATTCCATCATGTCTGAGAATACTTTAAAAGTTCATGGGAAATGGAAATTAAATTTAAAGATCATTTTGGTACAAAAGCAATTTTGAAATCCATGCATGTTTTTTCATAATATGCACTTTTCATTTATTATGAAAAAATTTGCACCAAAATAAACCTGAGTAATGTTCCACGTCCTTCTTCCAGTAACCTGGCCTTAGAAGGCATCTGGACTAGGACATGACGAGCACTCCCATGATGCATCTCCCCACATAACCGACCTAGTTGGAGCCCTCCAAGCTTCCCCATGACTAAGAGTAGAGCATATGCTCACCTGAAGGAAAAGCCAGCACTCAGCCAACCAGTTGTTGCTGTGAGAAAATGCACATGCATCGTGGCAAATTCTCAAGAGAAGCCAGAAATCTAAGCCTTTAAGTGAAATATCCTTATTCTGGGGCCTTGGGTGACATCAACAAAAATAAAACAAAATTGAAACTAAAAACACATCACCAAAAAAGGCTGTGTTTAATTTCTGGCTCAAACAACCAGGTTTGAATTCTGTGTCAGGGCATAGATTTCTAAGGAGCTGGCCCCTGCCTCTTCACTAGCCTCATTTCTAGTAACTTTCCACTGAGAATGCAAAAGCAATATTAATTGCTACCAGTTTTTACAATCCTCACCTCCTATGCCTTTGAAAGTGCTATTTTCTCTAGCTGGAGTCCTTTAACAAGTACTGTCGATCTAGCCAATTCCTACTCCTATACCACAACACCTTAGAGGTACAACTTCCTTTGTGAAGCCTGCCCAAATCAATCCATACCCCACCCCACCCCAAAATCACTCTTTCTGCTCTACCTCATATGTATTTTATGTATTTAAATTATTGTTGTTAGGTTCCAGTTATTGAATGCCTACTTTGTGCAGCCATGATGAAACAAAAATTTTTTATTGTGGTTGTTTGTTTTTATTTTTGTTTTCTTAGGCTTGAATAAAGAACTTTTCTTAAAGCTACAGAGTTAAAGCAAGAACCAGGATTACGATCAAGATCTGTCTTCAAAGCCTACATGTCATACATGACCACATTCCACTCCTATTTTCTACATATAGTATTTGTTTACTTCAATTCTCCTCATCCCTTAACTGAGATTACTGATAACAAGCATGATGTTTTATTCATTTTTATATATTAGTAGTAACTGGAATCTAATATGTAGTCAATAAATGTTTGTTGAAATAAGATGAACTGTATGCTAAATGCAAATCATATCAGTTTTATTCAATATTGCTCTATCTTCTTTTCATTGATTAATTCTTGACATTTATCTAAATTTATCTTCTTCATTTTGGATCATTAAAAACCAGTCCAATGTGATGTTTTTCAAATTCATTACCTTCAAAAAAGGGTAATGAACCAAAAAACCAAGATTATCATCATCTTAACAGTGGCATACTTGATCCAAGCAATCATTTTCTGGGCATGTTCTAGGAAGCAGAATGCTAGTTCTCCATTTCAAAAATTCTGAAACTCAATTTGCAAAAAAAAGGCCAAAATTTGTAAAAAAAAATAAAACTTTTTTCAACCACTGATTTCAAGCAAATATGCATAAGCAATCAGTGGACTCGGTATGCTGAAAGATTTTTATGGGATTTTATGGAGCTGACGTCTTCTACAAGCTTCTGGTAGGTGTGTTCTGTGTGTGGGAAGGTGGTCTGACTCACTCACAATTAACCTTGAGATATTCCCAGGAAGGAGGAATAGCTTGTGCTCAACTGCTTACCTCTGTCTCCAAGTTCCCCACCTGAGCAAAATACATGGCCTGAGGGAAAGAGAAAGTCTGACTTGATGAAAACTCCCAGCGGATGAAAATTGTGAATGTAATCTTAATGCACCACGCTCAAATCCAGTATTTAATTACCTTTTCTCTGCCCGCACATCCCCAAGGAATCCAGCAGGTTCTCATACATAAACTTGGCTAGAATTTTCTGTGTGGGAAGAAAGGGAGTTGGGGAGGAAGAGAGAAGCTCACCTGAGAAGGTTTTCCCAGGACCAGAAGACTGCACGCAGCTGCTCACCGGGCCACACCGATCACGGATCCCAGCCTCCCTTGTGCACGGTCCTTGACACAGAAAGGAGTTTTATTCTCATGGAGGAGTCTGGTACAGGGTTTCTTGAGGACATTCATTTCTGGGATTGAATTGTACTGCATGTGAACAGAGATTTGCCTTGAAGGTTTCTCAAGGTAATTCTCCTGAGATGCTGGAAAACACCCCTGTCTTGACAACTTGGTAAAAGAGGTAAGGGTCATATTCTGCCTCAGAAATGGAAAATGGAATTCTTTGAGAGTATTTGAAGTGTAACTGTTCTCAATGTAACATCATAGCTGAATGCCTCCCATCCTCTCCTTACTCACAGGGCCAGAGAACAGGAGGAATTTGTCACCCAACCCACCCGTTCATCACCCGCACTGGGGCTGAATGCATTTCACTGCGCCTTTCCTCTTCTGTCACTATGAGAGCCCCTAAAAGGGCAGCTGTCTTCCATGTGATTGGAGTCGTATCCGGATCACTGCATTTTCACTGTTCTCAATTGTGTAAACAAGTGTCAGGTGGCGTCATCCTGTTCGCTGGAATTCAAATAAAATCTGGTTTGAACAAAATGCAGTGTCCAGTAAGTTCTGAAACGTGAGAGCCATGCCATCCCTCCGCTACCTTGCCCCCTGGTCTCACTGCAGGCTGACCGTGCTCCCTAGCACCTGCTAAGGACTCCTTAGACTGCCTGCACAGTGGAGATGGCCCACATTACACCTCCTTGCGTTACAGCCGTGATTCTCAAGGGACCAAAAGCAATTAGTGTGACCAGAGAACTTGTTGGAAACGCAAATTTTGGCGCCCCCAACTCGGACTTCCGGGGACTGAATCCCTGCGGAGAGGACCCAGGCATCTGTGTTTTAACAAGCCTTAGCTGATTCTGATGCTCGTTAGTAAGGAGCCACAGTTTTACATCAACACTGTTCAAAGTGTGGTCATCTACACAGCATCAGCATTTTCTGGGAGCTGATTAAAGTGCAAATTGCCTAAACTCACTCAATCAGAATCTCCCCCCAACCCCATTCTGTTGCAAGGAGCTCACTGAGTGATTCCCACTCTTGCTGAAGCTGAGAAGTGCTACCTCAAAGCGTTTCCCCTCATTGCTACTCACCCCTGGGACTCCTCAGCTAGTCTGTGTTAGCACAGTAGCAGAGGGGCCGGGGAACCTAGCAGCACAGTTCTTTCACATTTACCCTCTTTCTTCACCTTCCCAGTGCATACAGGTGCTGCTAAGGCTCTGATGTGATGCTTCAAACACTACTAGGGCTTGCTGCTGAGTCCAGCCTACCCTGACAGATCATTTCTTTGCATAAAGGAATATTTCTCTCAAGAGCTCAGCAGCATCCCTAAGGATTCTATGACAGCTAAGAAGGCTTTGCCTGCTCAGGGCAATAAAGGGAGAAAAAAAAATTACCTCCAGGATAGCGGCTAGGGAGGTAGAGATTGTCAAATCACACACAAATAGCATTGATAAGTCTCAGCCCTGATTCAACCAGAACGCCCTGTTACAAATTGAAGGATGGAAGAGATATTCAGAAAGAAATTACCATATGTGAATTTCCCGAGTTTGACTTGACTTTGAAAACAGAATTGCATTTTATTTGCTAGGACAGCAAATTTCCAACAGAAAGCAAAAATATAAAAACAAAAAGATGCAAAGAAAGATCTCACTGCGCCTCCAATTTTCCTTTCCATAAAGGCACAAAGTGGAAGCAAAGGATTCAAAATAACCCAGGAGGCCTTACACCCATCAGGAATGTAGCATATTGTTTTGGAAGGTTCAAAGGGCTTCTTTGAAAGCAGACTTCAGATAATTGTAGTAGACATGAAGCAAGAAGACAATCCACCCCGAGTGAAAAGAAAGGCAGGCCACATAAAGATTGGGGTGGGGTCAGCATGAAGAATTCAATACTCACCTACAATCTACTGGTAAGGTTATTGCTAGTTATTTTCTAGTAGATAATAACAGATATATACCCTCATTTTGCTATTATTGAGATTCTAACGGAATGTGGAGAGAATTTCCCAAATCAAATAATATTTTCCACAACCAGTCACATAGAGAACATAAAAATTTGGAAACCACGTGACTTAAAGCTTTGAAGTTCCTCCATCAGAGTGCTGGGCACATGTTAGGGATGTAAATGACCAATGATATATACATTTATATATTATATATTTATTCCTATAAGATATATTAGTATTACTAGGTATTTTACATATATGTTAGGTATATAAAATGATATTTAATGAAAGAGGTCAAAGAAGTTTGCCAAGGTGATCCCAGTCAGTATTAATCCCATCTATGCCCTCACTTCCTGCTGCATTCTTGGCTATGTTGCATAACACTGTTCTAAAATTCTTCAGAGTCTATTTCATTTTCCATGAAAAAAAATTCTTTATTGCACTTAATCTTATTTAGGAGAGCAAGAATGTCTCTTGTAACACACAATGACAGAATCTGAGCCTTAAGCATAGGCATTCTGTTTTTATTAGCACAGTAATTTCATTATTTGGGGTATAGGAATTACTAAAATTTGCATAATTTGAATAAATAAAGCTAAAATGGCCAATTAGAATACACAAATCATATTCCTAGAACTCAAAAGACACAGGGATTATTAAAAACAACCACAACAGCTAAATCAACTGTTAATGACCAAATGACAGAACGGCAGATCATAAATTCACATTATTATCACTATAGCCTTCAAAATATGTGCTCTCCCTCTTCTTCTTTTCTTTCAGTCCTTTCTTTAAAGTTTATTTTATTTATTTGAAAGAAGGACAAAGAGAGAGATACAGAAAGAAAGAGATCTTCCATCCGCTGTTTCACTCCCCAAATGGCCACAAAGGTCAAGGCTGGGGCAGGCCAAAGCCCGGAGCCAGGGGCTATATCCAGGTCTCCGAGATTGGTGGCAGGGGCCCAAGTACTTGGACCATCTTCTTCTGCTTTCCCAGGTGCATTAGCAGGTTGCTGGATCAAAAGTGGAGAAGTGAATACAGTAACTGGCATTCATATGGGATGCCAGCATTGCAGGCAGTGGCTTAACCTTCTGCATCACAGGGCTGGTCCCCTTTCTATCATTTTGATACTATATATAGGTAGATCAGTATTAACTTTTCTTTTAAAATATACTTCAGGGCCGGCACCGCAGCTCAATAGGCTAATCCTACGCCTGTGGCGCCAGCACACCCGGTTCTAGTCCCGGTCGGGGTGCCGGATTCTGTCCCAGTTGCTCCTTTTCCAGTCCAGCTCTCTGCTATGGCCCGGGAGTGCAGTGGAGGATGGCCCAAGTCCTTGGGCCCTGCACCCCATGGGAGACCAGAAGAAGCACCTGGCTCCTGGCTTCTGATCAGCGCAATGCGCCGGCTGCAACATGCTGGCCACAGCGGCCATTGCGGGGTGAACCAACGGCAAAGGAAGACCTTTCTGTCTCTCTCTCTCACTGTCCACTCTGCCTGTCAAAAAACAAATAAATAAATAAATAAAATTTACTTCAATCCCATTAGTTCAGTGTCCCCTGAAGTTCAGACTCAATTCATGGGAATTGCAAATTTTTATGTCACTGAAAATAGAGAATTGGAAAGAGTAGCATAAAAAAAAAAGACAATAAATCATAGAAATGTCTTCTGATTTGCCAAGCTGTAAGTATGGACCCACTTTTATTCTCTCCATACCTTCCCCCATAAAAACATTGCATGGGATCTGTGGTTAATATCCATCATTGCCCATTGGCTTTATAAGCTAATCTGAGGGTACTTCAAAAATTTGATAAAAAATGAAGTTACAATTTTATATTGCAAAATATTTTATATCCAAGATTGGTTTTTAAAATATTTTATTTTATTTATTTGAAAGGCAGAGTTACAGAAAGGCAGAGGCAGAGAAACAGAGATCTTCCATCTGCTGGTTCACTCCCCAGATGGCCACAATGGCCAGAACTGCACTGATCCAAAGCCAGGAGCCAGGAACTTCTTCTGGGTCACCCTCGTGAGTGCTGGGGCCATCTTCTACTGCTTTCCCAGACCATAGCAGAGAGCTGGATCGGAAGTGGAGCAGCTGGGACTCTAACCGGCACCCATATGGAATGCTGGCACTGCAGGTGGCGGCCTTCCTCGCCATGCTACAGCGCCAGCCCCTAAGATTTTTTTTTTTTTTTTTTTACAGGCAGAGTGGACAGTGAGAGAGAGAGACAGAGAGAGAAAGGTCTTCCTTTTTGCCGTTGGTTCACCCTCCAATGGCCGCCGCTGCAGCCGGCGCACCGCGCTGATCCTGGCAGGAGCCAGGAGCCAGGTGCTTTTTCCTGGTCTCCCATGGGGTGCAGGGCCCAAGCACCTGGGCCATCCTCCACTGCACTCCCTGGCCATAGCAGAGAGCTGGCCTGGAAGAGGGGCAACCGGGACAGAATCCGGCGCCCCAACCGGGACTCGAACCCGGTGTGCCGGCGCCGCAAGGTGGAGGATTAGCCTATTGAGCCACGGCGCCGGCTCGATTTTTTTTTTTATAATATGCATTTCCCATGAACTTTTTGAAGACCCTCCTCATTGCTTAGATTTAAAAATTTTTTTGCCCTAAAATAAACATCTTTTAATTCTTTTTCCATGAACCTTTTGAAGCATCCTCACACTTATTAAGCTGATACTTACCAGAAATAGCAGGACATTTATTGTGAAATGTCAAAGCTCAGAATTCTTCTGGAAGTGTTTCCAACTTCAGACACATTTCTTGTTGAAGAAAAACATCCTCCAAAGAAAGTTGAAAAAAGAACCCAGATGAATATTTTTTTTCAGATGAGTCACAAATAAGTCCTGATTTCAACCTGTTCCACAGCCCCCCGGAGCTGAAAACCTAAAGACAGTTCCACAGTATCATATTTCAAAAGCGGCACAGCTTAGCTGCTAAAGCAATAAAACGGTATTTTTTAAATAAGAAACATAAAGCATCGTATCGTGAATAACATTTGTGTCCAGAAACAATAAATGGATAGGTACCATTCTGTACTATAACTGAGCAGTCTAGCTGGATTATGGATGCGAACTTGCTCATTTCTCTTAAGTTGACATTTTGTGCAGACTAGAAGAAGTGTGTGGTATGAGATCAATAATGAAGTAATTAAAAGTAAAAGGCTCTTAATGATTGTAAATGAAGCTGAGAACACAAACTCTGATCTCCATAACCTAGAGTTATGACTGTAGGGCCATAGTCTGCTAACATCTGCCTTCTTGAGTAGGAATGGTTTTCCTTCTAAATAACAGTGCTACATGAATCAACAACTTCCAAAGGAACTATTTCCTTAGGTCTCAGACTTGCAAAAATCTCATTGATCTTGCTGAAGTCTCAGTTACATAAGTAGGAAGTTATTTTTAAAGCTGTACCAGATGCTATAGTTCCTCCTCATTGCTCCCACATGGTTGCACACTGTTTGTTCAGAATTGAGCCAAAAGCCCTGGAATAAGAAAGTTAAGTAAGACTCCCTGACAAATCAAGAGAACAGATTTGCATGCAATGGGTCTGTAAATATTCCTTTTAGTTTTATTATTTGGCTGCCGCATTTGAGCCGCACACACTCTCATATGCACAATTACAGAGATATTTTTCTTAGGCGGCACATGGTTTTCATTCTGGAATTGACAGCAGGATCTCTTCTTAATTTAAACCATTTTTACAGTCTCCTTAGTGATACTAAAACATTAACGGATAAACTACTACCCTAGCTCATCATTTTGCCAGAAGAAATGTAAAGTAGTTCATACTGTCAGAAATAATCTTTGATAACATAAAAATGAAAATTTAGTCAAATTAGAACTTTTATTGACATGGATTAAAGGGCTATTTCTACTATATATTTCTTTCTGTAATGAATTTAAAATATGATCAACAGTCAAGGAAGCTAAAAGTGATAAATTACTAGGTCTCACTGATTTTATTTGGGATATTTCGAAGATGAAATGTCAAAACCACATAGACTTGCCCTATACTTCTCAAAAAACATACTTATTCATTGTGAATCCCTGGTATCTAGAGCCATAGCCAAGAAGTATTTAACAAAGGAATGAAAGAAGGACTGAATGATCTCAATTTTTAAAGCTATAGTAGCTACCCCTCTTCTATTTTCTAATAGTAACCTACCTGTGTCATCAACATCATTTTCTACTATGAAGTTTTCATGTTATGTCACCTATTACTGCCTTACACATATATTTTATAATTAATAAATATTATAAAATACTATCGTTTACCCCATGGAACTACCAATACTATAATTTATTATAGTATTGTATAGTATAGTGATTTTACTGAGAAATACTGTTTTATCTTTAAATAAAATTGAATTATTCCTTTGGTTAAAATTTGTAATGGATTGATAATTACCTAGACTAAATATTAACCTCTTTGTCAAGGGCTGTGAAGCCATGCATGATTAAGGTGTTTTTTTTTATTTTTATTTTAAACCATATCTTCTACTATTCCTCCATTGTATCTTGACTAAAATTCATTCCAACTTTAGGTTTCAGTGATGATCAAAGCTGTAACAGACCACCCCTCCTGCCAATAATAATCAAAAATTTGAATAGAAGGGGTCGGCATTGTGGCACAGCATGCTAAGCCACCACTTGTGACACAAACATCCCTTATCAGAATGCCAGCACAAGTCTTGGCTGTTCCAATTCCAATCCAGCTCCCTGCTAATGTGCCTGGGGAAGCAGCAGCAGATCACCCAGTACTTGAGTCTGTCCTACCCCTCTGGGAGACCTGGATACAATTGCTGGCTCATGGCTACTGAATTCATCCTGGCTGTTGTGGCCAGTGAGGGAGTGAACCAAAGGATAGAACATCTGTGTGTGTGTGTGTGTGTGTGTGTGTGACTCTTCATTTCAAAAAAAGATTGGATGGGAACAACTTCTGTTTGAAGGCATTGAGAAGTGATAAAATTGGCACAAACAAGGAAAATCCAGTCTTTGCAAGATAAGAACCACAGTGGTGGAGATCCAAAGTTCTATGCTCTTCCCCAAAGGCACTCCCCAGTCCACCACCCATGGTGGTAATCAAAATAATCAAAATATTAAAATAATAATAATTAAAATATTATTAGATTGAGAAACCAAAGGAGAGAACTAGGAACTGCCAATGTGGCTGAATATTGAAATGGGAAAATTATAGAAAGAAAGGTGCTAAAGAATAGCAAACCACCAAAGCTATGCATAATACAACTCAAATCCTTGGCTTCCTCCTAAACTACATATATGCTGGGTGAGACTCCAAAGACCTTGAGGGGAAGTAACTGTTTCAGAGACTTCAGCAAGGCACACTGAAGAGGAGTCAAGATTCTGGAATTAGAGTTCTGTCAAATTAGAGTGTCTTGATAAACACATCAGAATTCCCATAAAAATCACTGAGGAGCCACACTTTCATGATTAAAGATTAAAAATTAAGACTAAATTTATCAAAAATTTAACCTCTTGATAGTAAAAAATATTATATTCTTCAGAGGAAGATAACTGAACCCAGAAACTCTATCCAAGTGGGGTTTATCCCTCATATGCAGGGATGGTTCAACATATGCAAATCAATAAAAGTAATACATGACATTAACAAACTGAAGAATAAAAACCGATTATCTCAATAGATGTAGAGAAAGCATTTGATAAAATACAACATCCTTTCATGAGAAAAACCTTTAGCAAATCAGGCATAGAAGGAACATTCTTCAACACAATCAATGCAATAAATGACAAACCCGCAGTCAGTATTATATTGAATGGGGAAAACCTGGAAGCATTACCACTAAGATCCATAACCAAACCAAGAGGCCCACTCTCACCATTACTATTCAATATAGTTCTGGAGGTTTTCTCCAAAGCCATTAGACAAGAAAAAGAAACCAAAGTGATACAAACAGTAAAGAGGGAGTCAAATTATCCCTGTTTGCAGATGACATGATTCTATATAGAGAGGATCCAAAAGATTACCATACATGATTATTGGAACTCATAAAACAGTTTGGAAATGTTGAAGGATATAAAATCAACACACAAAAATCAATAACGTTTGGGTACACAAACAATGTTATAGTTGAGAAAGAATTTGCAAGATCAATCCATTCACAATAGCTACAAAAAAAGTTAACTATTTTGGGATAAATTTAACCAATGACATGAAAGCTCTCTACAAAGAGACTACAAAACATTAAACAAAGAAATGGAAGACAACACAAAAAATGGAAGAATATTCCATGTTTATGGGTTGGAAGAATTAATATCATCAAAATGTCCACAGTATCCAAAACAATTTATAGATTCATTGTGATCATAATCAAAATATCAGATATGTTCTCAGATCAAAAACAAATGATCCTAAAATTCGGATGGAAATACAAGAGACCTCAAATAGCTAAAGCAATATTAAAAAATAAAAATCAAGCTAGAGGCATCATAATACCAGATTTCAAAACATATTACAGGGAAGTTACAAGACATAAAACAGCCTGGTACTGGCACAAGAGTAGACATGTGGGCCAATGGAACAGATTAGAGACCCCAGAAATTAATCAATGCATCTACAACCAACTAATTTTTGATAAATGAGCTTAAAATCACTCTCTGGAGAAAGGACAAACTCTTCAACAAATCCTGATGGAAAAATTAGATCTCTGCAAACAGAAGTATGAAACAAGACCCCTATCTTTGTTCAGGGATTATAACCTAAGACATGAAACCATCAAAGTAACAGAGGAAAACATAAGGAGAATACTTAAAGATGTTGCATGGCATTAGCTTCTTGGATAATACCCCAGAAGCATAGCAACAAAAGTCAACATAGATAAGTAGCATGATATCAAGATGAGAAGCTCCCCACAGCAAAGCAAACACTCAACAAATTGAAGAGGCAACCTATGGGAGAAAATAGTTGTGAACTATACATCTGATAAAGGATTAATATCCAGAATATATAAGGAGGTCAAGAAACTCAGCAACAACAAAAAAGACAATCCAGCTAAGGAATGGGTTAAGGACATGAACAAGTATTTGGGTTTTTTTTTTAAAAGATTTATTTTATTTATTTGAAAGACAAGAGTTACAGAGAGAGGTAGAGACAGAGAGAAATGTCTTCCATCCACTGGTTCACTCCCCAGATGGCTGCAACAGCCGGAGCTGTGCCCATCCGAAGCCAGGAGCCAGGAGCTTCTTCTAGGTCTCCAACGTGGGTGCAGGGGCCCAAGGACTTGGGCCATCTTCTACTGCTACCCTAGGCCATAGTAGAGAGCTGGATCAGAAGAGGAGCAGCTGGGACTAGAACTGGTGCCCATATGGGATGCTGGCACTTCAGCCCAGGGCTTTAACCTGCTGAGCCACAGTGCTGGCCTCATGAAATAGTATTTGTTAAAGGATCAAAGATACATAGTCAACAGACACATGAAAAGATGCTCAGGATCACCCGCATTAAAAATATGCAAATAAAAACCACACTGCAATTTCAACTCAACCCAGTTACAATGGCTATTATCCAAAGCTGAAAAAATAACAAATGGTGTCAAGGATGTGGGGAAAAAGATACCCTAAATGTAGTGTTATCGGGAATGTAAACTAGTACAATCATTGTAGACGACAGTGAGGATATTCTTTAGAAATCTGAAAATAGATCTATAATATGACCCAGCCATTCCACTCCTGAGAATTTACCCAAATGAAATGAAATCAGCATATGAAAGAGTTATCTGTACCCCCCAAGATTCTAGCAGTTCAATTCACAATACCTAAGAGATGGAATCCACTCAAATGTCCATCAGCTAATGACTGTCTAAAGAAATTGTGATATATATATACATCATATAGATATAGATATAGATATATAGTGTGTGTATGTGTATACACACAATGGAATACTGCTCAGCCATAAAAAAATGAAATTCTGTCATTCACAACAAAATGGATATAATTGGAGACCATTATGTTTGTGAAATAAGCCAGTCCCCAAAAAACAAAAATCACATTTTGTCTGATTTGTGGTAACTAATATACAGAAACAAATAAATGCAATGTATGTGAGGGAAATTGACATTTTGAGATTTGATTATCATTATGCCCTTGTCTATACTCTTAAGGAAGGGTGATTTTTCTAGTTAACACTTGTTTAATGCTTTATTTAGTGGAGGGTAAATCTTCTGATAAAGTAAATGTAAAGGATGCCATTGCCTAAATTAAAAAGGCAAATAAAGGAAGGGGGTGGGAAGGTGGAAACAAGGGAGGGAGGTGAGGATGCAAAATATCATTATGTATACATAAAATACATGAAACAAAATTTGTTCTTTTTATATAAATAAAAATTTTTTTAAAATAAAACTATGAGATAAATTTTTTAAAAATTCTATCCAGTATGCATTTAAAAGTTACTAGGCATATGATAAAATAGGGAAAATATCTGTAGTCAAGAGAAAAAAATATTGTAAGACAAAGAAAATCAGTTTTTAGGATAAATATGCAACTTCAAAATAACCATGATAAATATGTAAGAGAATCGTGAATAAAAATTGGATACAATGGGTGAAGGCATTAAGGAATTTTGAAAGATATGTAGAAACTTTACCAAAAGTAAATCAAATAAAAATTTTGGAGCTGGGAAAAAGTATTCAAAATAAAAATGTTATTAAATGGAAATGGATAGTCGGTTATAAATAGTAGAAGAAAAGACCAGTAAACTTGGAGACAGAAATGATCAATACTGAAGCATAAAAGAAAGTATGATTGAAAAAGTTGTGAAGAGAGCCTCTCAAGAACCTGGATCTGCATTAAGTGGCCTTACCTGTGGTAACTGGAATCCCAGAGGAGAGTGAGAGACAATGGGGGGAAGTGTGTGTGTGTGTGTGTGTGTTTCATTTAGCCTTAAACTCTATTCAGTCTGAAAATCTAAGTACTTTTTTTCCAAGACAGCACTTAGCTGTGTGCTGGGAACCGTTGGCTTACCCTGTGACAGAGAAGGATCAGGTCCCGTGATCCCTGTGATACAGCACTTCGTCTGCCGGAATGCAGCCTCCCTTCAGGCACGCACAGTACAGCTTGTCTTTAGCGGAACTCAGGTACGTCGTGGGCAGAATAGAAGCTAGCTAAGACGCTAGAACTCCTGCTAACTCTCAAGTAGCTGCCACAGCAGCATCCAGCCTCTGGGTCCACTGGTTCAGTCCCAGCTTCCACTGCTGTTACATACTTGCTGGCTCAATTTGCATCGGATTCCTTCCAGTCCCGCTGATAAGGTGCAGGTGAAGCTAGAAAGATGCCATTTTCCCAAGTCCCAAAAGGAGAACAAAATGACACCTTCCCTCTCCCCTTCTTACCTTCTACCCCTTTCATTTTCTCTCTAACTTATATCCCTCTGGCCTTCATCTTGGAGACAGGAAATCTTTCTTGCTTTCCCTGTAATCACTAACAAAATTCCCAAGCCAGGAAATGACTTCAAGTCACTCATGTCCTCATCTTCTGTTATTTTTCTAAGATTTATTTATTTATTTGAATAGCAGAGTTACAGAGAGAGAGAGAGAGATTCCATATGCTGGTTCACTCCCCAAATAGCCGCAATGGCTGAAGCTGGGCCCATCCTAAGCCAGGAGCCAGGAGCTTCTTCCTGGTCTTTTATGTGGGTACAGGGGCCCAAGCAATTGGGTCATCTTCCACTGCTTTCCCAGGTGCATTAGCAGGGAGCTGGATCATAACTGGAGCTGCCAGGACTTGAACCAGTGCCCATAAGGGATGCTGGTATTGCAGGTTGCAGCTTTACCCATTATGCCACAATGCCCGTCCCCATCCTCTGTCATTAAGAATAATCTTGTGCTTCACTCTCAAAGGCAGGGGAAACATCTATTTTATAGAATAATCCTATAAGCAGGATCCTACAACCTCACTATCTGAGCTATTAGGAGAAGAAAGAGTGTAGAAAAATTGGGAAATTAAGTCTTAACACAATTGACCAGCTATTGGGCTGCTTTTAATCTTATTTGTCAAGATAGAAGCTAACTAATATCTATCTCTCTGTTCTTTTCTCAGCTAATGCTGATCTTTTCCTAGACATATGGACTGCTGAGGCTGAAGCCAATTAGGATAAAAATAAAATGGTGCAAGGGAGCACAGTAATACTTTTCAAAACATTATTCTTACTCAATAGCTTGTTTTATTTATGACTGTGCCATAGGGACAGAGCTGAATGGCATAAATCCATATCAAGACAATTTTGATAGTCATGTAGTCTTAAAGCCCCTTGGATTTCAGACCGAGCTGATTATCATGGTGATGCTCTCACTGGGGAAGGGCATAGCTGTGGTCATGAACCTCTTGATGATGTGTCATGATTTCTCCAAAGCTCAAAATCTATGACTCCACATCAAATGTGCTTCTCAGGGTAGAAGCGAGAATAATCTGTAGAAAATAGTATATCTCTGGCCAGAAATGTCCTGGTACATTCTTTTCTCCAACTTCACTACCTCCTTTGGGTCATTATAAATTGTATCGGATTCTGTCATCTCAAATCTTGAATTATGGGTCAAATTATCACAATAAATGATGCTTGTTTGTAATTCCCAGATATGTGTTTATTATTGAAGGAATTCTCATTCTTCTTTGAAAGACATGTTCTCAAGTGAATCTAGTGATAAATTTCCAAATTTACCTATGGTAACCAACAAAGGAAGATTTAGCTTCATGATTGATGGCATACTTATCTGGAGAGAAATGTTCATGGGAATGAAGCAAACAAGGAAAAGTTTTCAAGCTTCTGTATTTTAATTATACACACACATGAGGATAATATTTTTAAGTTCATGGAAAGTGGTCTTAAAGCATAAATTTATTTTGGTGCAAAATTGTTTTAAATCAATGCATAGCTTTTTTCTTTTTTTTTTTTTTTTTTTTTTTTTGACAGGTAGAGTGGACAGTGAGAGAGAGAGACAAAGTTCTTCCTTTTCCGTTGGTTCACCCCTCAATGGCCGATGTGGCTGGTGTACCACGCTGATCCGAAGCCAGGAGCCAGGTGCTTCTCCTGGTCTCCCATGCGGGTGCAGGGCCCAAGCACTTGGGCCATCCTCCACTGCACTCCCGGGCCACAGCAGAGAGCTGGACTGAAAGAGGAGCAACCGGGACAGAATCTGGCGCCCCAACCAGGATTAGAACCCGGGGTGCCACCGCCGCAGGCAGAGGATTAGTCTATTGAGCTGCAGCACCAGCCTGCATAGCTTTTTTCATAATGTACATTTTCATGATGTTTTGAAGAGCTCCTCATAGGTGTGGATTTCAACTTTTTTGCAACAAAGCAAATTTATTAATTTTTGGGTTGACTCATTTACCTGACTGCTAGAGGCTGGGTTTTCAGGGTGTATTTGGGATTTATGGTTCTTTCCAGGCTACCTTGGAATAACTACACACTCCAGTACACCTTTCCCTGAGATCCAAACACCTAAGAGCTATAACTAGACTGCCTGGGACCCACGACAAAAGCTTACCTGAGCCTTGACCCCAGCGTCTTTTTGGATGCCCACCGAAAGAATTTCTCAGGATTCTGTAGTCTCTCATTCCATCTGCCCAGAAATGTTAGCACAAGACCTTAGTAACCCAACTCTCAGCCCTGCTACCAAATTCCCTTTCTCTGTACCAGAAGATCCAAGGGTCCACCTCAACAGACAGAAATGAGGAAATATTCTAGGTGGTCAGAGGTAGCTTGCCCATCAAGAGGAGAGGAGCAAGGACATTGCTATCTGAGTGGACAGAATCGTAGGCCAACATGAAATCCCTCTTAATCAACAGATATTCTCAGTTTAAAAGAAAACAACTCAGAGACATTGATCTTACAGCGCACATCAAGAAGTAAAGCGCACAAATATAGCTGCCTACATCATGGATGGGATCTTTGTAAGAATGCTAGGATAGGAATTGATTATAAAACCAAGTCAGTTAAGGCATAAGCCTTTTTCTTATGCTGTTCTTGCTGGTAATTTTATGCAGTAGAGAAAGCTTCTATGCTAAGAAAAACTTGTATACCAGTAGTTTTGATAACCTATGATACAAGCTCTGTGATATCTTTCTCTTCCTACCTTGATACCAGTAATTTATAAGGAATCTGTAGGTTAAATGTATTTGAATGACTTCCAATACATGTTAGCTCTTTTTTTTTTAATTTGGCCCTTAGAAGAAGCACCAATAAATTTCAAGTAATTCCCACTTCTGTTGTTAAGAATGAAATCAATGAGATGAAACCCAGCACCAAGAACTAAAGTGCAAAGTAACTTGAGAGAAAAGAATATAAGGAAAACATTGGATATTTTGGCTAAAGCATAATAATTAGGGCAAATAATTAGATTTTCTGGTTTTCAAAGATTAGAATTGCAATAAAAGGAAGCTTTGATATGTTTAAATTTTCAGTAACATAAATGTATATACACAGAACAATAAAATTGATCTATTTGAATTAAAAAAAATTGATCTTTTAATCACCTTTGCACACACTTTCTGTGGTCCCCAGGTGTGTGTGTGTGTGTGTGTGTGTGTAGTAAATTTCAGAAGTGTTGTATTTGCTGTTTTGCTGATGATTCTGCCTGGTGGACATTGATGAGTTACACAAGTGCTGCCACAGAGTCGTGTCTTTCCTTGTTCTAGTTTCTGTAAACAGAGCAGGTAGAAAACAACTCACGTAAAGCTGGGGCTGATGTGGCAGCTGGGTTTTATGTAGATAAACAGCTAAATATTTAATGAATATGCTTCTGTCTAATTCTAGAAGAAACACAAAGGCATCATTTTGCATTTTATATATATACCTGGAGCCAATCACTTTAAATCCAAAAGTGAAGGATTTTGGCTCAAATGACTTTGAGCTGGCATTAATGGATCGGAGGAAAAGAAACTATTTCAGAGAAATCCACACCTTTTTCTGAAAAAAAAAAAGAAGAAATACTTAACATTTATTTTATTTACTACATAGTAGCTGTAAGATTTCCTGTGATCAGAAGATCAAAACATAAAACTCAGTATCACCACAGGAAGCAAAGTAATTCCTCAGAAACGAGGTATTATATCTTAGACAAATTAGAACTACTAAATATGCTAAAAATCTTTCTGGGGAGAGCACCAGTGAATGGAAGATCCCTTTCTCTCTCTCCCTATCTGGCATTCTGCCCTTGAAATAAATTAATCTTTAAAATACTAATAAAGTGTGAAAAAATAAGATACTCAGTGAACCAACTACTGTAGGCATAGCCGTAAAAATTGCCTGGGTCAAAAAAGCAAAGTAGGACGCATTGTGCTTTAGAACGTCACTAAATTAGTTGTATATACTACTTCCTCATTGGTCTCTTTGTGTGTGTGTGTGTGTGAGAGAGAGAGAGAGAGAGAGAGAGATTTTATTTATTTATCTGAGAGGTGCAGTTACAGACAGAAAAAGGGAAAGACAGAAAAGTCTTCCACCTGCTGGTTCACACTCCAAATGGCCACAGTGGCAGGAGCTGGGCAGATCTGAAGCCAGGAGCCAGGAGCTTCCGGGTCTCCCACTTGGGTGCAGGAGCCCAAGCACTTGGGCCATCTTCCTCTCCTTTTCCAGGCCATAGCACAGAGCTGAATAAGAAAAGGATCATCCAGGACACAAACCGGCGCCCATATGGGATGCCAGTGCCGCAGGGGGAGGCTTAGCCCAGGGCACCATAGTGCCGCCGCCACCACCCACTGGTCTCCTAACTGTACCTACAAAGAAAGCTAAAAGCCCTAAAGCTTACACACACAGAAAATTTTAAAGCTGGTTGTAATTATTAAATAAGAAAATCCATATCTCCTCAAGTTAATAGAAACTGATTAGGCATAAGAAGTGGCAGAAGATAGCCAGCTCCCTTCTCTTGGGAAGATTATCACAGTCAGGGCCTGAGGGCTCTGAGACCAGCGCATGCAAAATAAGGATTTATTTAGGAAGCATCAAGCCTATACTTCCCGCTAATACTGGAGATTTTTGGCAGGACAAGCAGTATAGCACTCCAATGTTTTAAAACAGGAAATACCCTTCACATTATTAGCAGTT